TGCCCGGGCTGGTCTCGAACCCACAGGCTCAGGCAATCCACTTGCCTCGGCCTCCCAAAGCGCTGGGATTACAGGCTGAGCCACCGAGCCCGACTGAGTCTCATCTTTTTTTTATCATTTTTGTCATTTTGATCTTGTGCATGCCACATAGGCCTTCGAATATTAGTTTTCTCTTCTTTCAAATAGGGACAATGATAAAATACCTCTGTCCGGCCTGTTGTCAACTTTAATGACAGTGCAGGTGTGCAAACGCCAAAGAGACGTGCACCCATGACCAAGTGGGCACCTTGAAGGCTGAACACAGGAAAACCAGAAACACTGACATTGATGCCTGGTCATCTCTCTGCAGTGGCCATTATTAAAACAGATGAGGGGGGCTGCTGCTTGTGTCTTGGAAAAAAATCTACAAAAGGAAAGAACCAGTGGGAAGAAGAGACAGAATGAGTAGTGGGTACTGGGCACAGTGGCTCACGCCTATGATCCCAGCACTCTGGGAAGCCAAGATGTGAGGATCACTTGAGCCCAGGTGTTTAAGACCTGCTTGTGCAATACAGCGAGACATTGACTCTAAAATAAATTTTTTCATTTAAAAAGAAAAAAAAAGGAGCTAGCCTCAGTGGCTCAGCCTGCAATCCCGCGCCTTTGGGCTTGGTAGCACGCACCTGTAGTACCAGCTACTCGGGAGGCTGAGGCGGAAGGATCGCCAGAGCCCAGCAGGCGAGGCTGCGGTGGCCGGAAGCGGCCACTGCACTCTAGTCTGGGTGACAGAGCAAAACTCCACTCAAAAAAAAAAGGCTGGGCCTGATGGCTCATGCCTGTAATCTCAGCATTTAGGCAGGCTGAGGTGGGAGGATTCCTTGAGCCCAGGAGTTCGAGACCAGCCCAGGAGTTTGAGACCATAGTGAGACCTCGTCTCTATACAAAATCAAAAAATTAGCCAGGCATGGTGGTGTGCACCTGTAGTCCCACCTACTCGGGAGGCTGACACGAGAGGCTTGCTTGAGTCCAGAAGGTCAAGGCTGCCATGAGCTATGATTGTGTCATGGCACTCCAGCCTGGGCGACAGAGTAAGACCCCTCCAAAAAACAAAACAAAAAGAAAAGAATGAGTAGAGGGAATAAAAGATGTGAAAACAAAATTTTATTTATTTTTTTGATAGAGACAGGATCTGGCTAGGTTACCCAGGCTGGTCTTGAACTCCTGACCTTAAGCAACCATCCCACCTAGGCCTCCTAAAGTGCTGGGATTAGAGGCTTGAGTCACCGTGCCTGGCCTGAAGGAAACAATTATTTTATTTTTTATTTATTTATTTTATTTTATGAGTTGGCATCTCACTACATCACCCAGGCTGGAGCACAGTGGCACACTCACGGTCACACCAGCTTCGACCTGCCAGGCTCCGGCAATCCTTCCCCCTCAGCCTTCCAAGTAGCTGGAACTACAGGCAGTCGCTACCACACCTGGCTAATTTTTGATTCATTGTAGAGACGAGGTCTCGCCAAGTTGCCCGGGCTGGTCTCGAACCCGCGGGCTCAGGCAATCCACTCGCCTCGGCCTCCCAAAGTGCTGGGATGACAGGCTGAGCCACCGAACCCAGCCAGGAAACAAAATTTTAAAAAGAAACTAAATTTAAAAGAAGAAGCATTTACTATGAAGCATGGTGGGGGGGAGAATACACGAACAGGTAAATGAAAAGAAAGGTTAGACGATGAATAGGAAAGGCAGAGAAAGAATGGTAGCCCAGTGCATCCAGTAAATAGAATCTCCACAAGGGTTCAAAGATCCCCTAGAAATGGTGTGCCCTCGTGGGAAAGTAACCAGGCGATGGAAGCCTATTCAAATGCAAATCAAGTGCTGATATTCGGAAGCGAGGAGCTGGTAGACACTGCAGCCATAAGAGAAAAACAGAGACCCAACAAAGGGCGGTTGCCCCCCCCCAGGGGGTAAGGCCCCCACAGGTGAACACAGGAAGAGGAGTGAGGTCGGCTTAGCATTCCAGGCCTTCCACAGCTAGACAGGAAGAGAAGAGGCTTGACCCTTGTTCCTTTCCTCAAGTGACACCGGTATGAAAAATTTCAGGAAAATCTTTTTCTTTTTTTACAGCAGCCACAGTGAGTACGTGACATGAAGGAAATGCTTCCTGCCACAGAGTAAATTCCACTTCAAGAATTGTAGTAGATGGCCAGACACAGTGGCTCATGCCTGGAATCCCAGCACTTTGGGAGGCAGAGGTGAGAGGACTGCCTGAGTCTAGGGGCTCGACACCAGCCTGGACAACTTGGTGAAGCCTCATCTCTACAATAAATCATAAATCGGGTGTGGTGGTGTGTGCCTGTGGTTCCAGCTAACTGGGGCAGAAGGATCACTTGAGTCCAGCAGGTGGAGGCTGCAGTAGCCGTGAGCATGCCATTGCACTCCAGCCTGGGTGACAGAGTGAGACTCTGACTCAAAAAAATAAAATAAAATAATTGTACTAGAGGGCCAGGCATGGTGACTCATGCTTGTAATCCCAGAACTTTGGGAGGCTGAGACCCCCTGAGGCTCACTTGAGGCCAGGAGTTTGAGACCAGCCTGGGCAACATAGTGAGACCCCATCTCTACAAAACCAGGACAAAATGAAACTTTTGTTCGGTAGCCAGGCATGGTGACTCATGCTCCAAATCTCAATGCTTTGGGAGACCAAGACAGGGAGGCCAGGAGTTTGAGACCAGCCTGGAAAACATAGTGAGACGCCCACCTCTACCAAAAATTTTAAAAATTAGCCAGGCCTGGTGGCTTATGCCTATAGTCTCAGCTACTTGGGAGACTGAGGCGGGAAGATTGCTTAAGCCCATGAGTTCAAAGCGGCAGTGAACTATGATCATGCCACTGCACCCCGGTCTGGGCAACAGAGTAAGACCCTGTTTCAAAAGAAAAAAAAAGTACCAGAATATCACAACCAAGGTGGGATCATCGATCAAGAATCCCAGTAGGCCAGGCTCGGTGGCTCAGCCTGTAATCCTGCGCTTTGGGAGGCCAAGGTGAGTGAATTGCCTGAGCCCGCGCATTCGAGACCTGCCCAGGCAACTTGGCGAGACCTCATCTCTACAGTAAATCAAAAAATCAGCCAGGCGTGGTCGCGCGCGCCTGTAGTTCCAGCTACTTGGAAGGCTGAGGCGGAAGGATCACCGGAGGCCAGCAGGTCAAGGCTGCGGTGGCCATGGCCACTGCACTCCAGTCTGGGTAACAGAGTATGACTCCAACTCAAAAAAAAAGAATCCCAATAGGCTTTTCTAATAGAAATGCTCAAGTTTTGAAAGCCTAAAATACTCCCTACTGGGAATATACCCTGAAGACCTCAAATCACTCTATAAAAAAGATACCTGCACATGTATGTTTATCGCAGCTTTGTTCACAATAGCAAGAACCTGGAAACAACCATGCTGTCCATCAAAAGAGGGCTGGATTTTAAAAATGTGGTACATATACACGATGGAATACTACGCAGCCATAAAAAAGAACAAAATCATGAATTTCGCAGCAACCTGGATGGAACTGAGTCTATAATACTGAGTGACCTCTCACAGAAACAAAGATCCGAGTATCACATGTTTTCACTCAAATAATGGACCTTGAACATCCAATGTAATACTATAAGAAAATGACCGAGGGTACTGGGAAACTATGGGGGGGGGATGGGATTAACAGTAGTAAATATCTGTCTGGGGAAGGGGAAACACCTCTTATCAACAGGGTGCCTGAATGAAACGTAATTGTACACCTAACCCTTAACTGTACCCCACAAAATCATAATGAAAAATATTGATTAAAATAATAAATAAATAATAAAAATTTTAAAAAATATTTTTTAAAAAAAGAAAGCCTAAAATAGCCGTCACTGAGAAGTCAATAGGCCCATTTCTGCACGTTTGCATGAGGTTTTCTCAAGGACACGCCCTACCTCCTCCTTGGATCTGGCCTTGAAGAAGTCTCTCTCAAACACTCCCCGCTGGGCGAAGATGGTGGGGCACAGCAGGGAGTGTGCGGTGCCATCCTCGCCGTAATTGGTTCTATCACTGATGCGACGAATTCGGGGGGCAGGAATATCAGACCGGATGGTGGGGACCCCACAGATGGGGTGACCTAGGTCATCGACAGGGAAGGAAAGCAGATGTTCTAGAACCTCGCAGGACAGTGCCCTAGCCGCCAGTCACATGAGGCGACTGAATTTCAGTGAAATCAAAATGCAAAACGCAAGGATCTCAGGACAAGCTAGGTGCAATGGCTCACGCCTACAATCTCAGCACTTTGGGAGGCCGAGACGAGAGGACTGCCTGAGCCCGGGGTTCGAGACCCGCCTGGGCAACCTGACGAGACCTCATCTCTACAAAAAAATCAAAAAATTAGCCAGGCATGGTGGCACCTGCCTGTAGTCCCAGCTACTCGGGAGGTTGAGGCAGGAGGATCGCCTGAGGCCAGCAGGTAGAAGCTGCAGTGGAAATGAGCGTGCCACTGCACTCCAGCCTGGGTGACAGAGTGAGACTCCCATTTAAAAAGAAAAAAAAAAAAGGAGAAATCTGAGACCAGGCATGGTGGCTCAAGTCTGTAATCCCAGCACTTTGGGAGGCAGAAACGAGACAATGGCCTGAGCCCGGGGATTCGAGACCAGCCTGGGCAACTTAACGAGACCTCATCTCTACAATACATCAAAAACTTACCCGGGTGTCGTGGCTCTCGCCTGTATCCCAGCTACTTGAGAGACTGAGGAGGGAGGATCACCTGAGCCCAGCAGTTCAAGGCTGCAGTGAGCCGTGTTCGTGCACACTGTACTCCAGCCTGGGTGAGAGTGAGACCCTGACTCAAATAAATAAAAATAAGGCCAGGCACAGTGGCTCAAGACTGTCATCCCAGCACCTTGGGAGGCCGAGGCGAGAGGATTGTCTGAGTCCAGGGGTTCAAGATCAGCCTGGGCCACTTGATGAGACCTCGTCTGTACAATAAATCAAAAATTTAGCCGGGCGTGACGGTGCACGCCTGTCGTTCCAGCTCCTGGGAAGGCTGAGGCGGAAGGATCATCAGAGCCCTGCAGTTCGAGGCTGCAGTGGCCGGGAGCATGCCACCACCCTCCAGCCTAGGCGACAGAGTGAGACTCCAGCTCAAAAAATAAATGAATAAAAATTAAATGTGGCGAGTCACATGACATACTCACACAGAGAAGGAACGGCCCCCACCACGGAGCTGATCTCAGAAGAGGTTGTCTTGTAGTAGTTAGAAACCTTGTCCCCGGGTCTCACAAGTGTCCGGAGAGTCTTCTCCGAGCTTCCTGGTTCTTTCAGGACAAGATCTTCAGGCTTTATCAGGAGAGCCGGCCCAGACTCTTCCACGCTTGCCTCTGCGGGGTTTGCACAATGCTGTTTTCCACCTTTAAGACAAAAAGGGAGCTGGACGCGGTGGCGGACGCCTATAATCCCAGCACTTTGGGAGGCCGAGGTGAGAGGATTGGCTGAGCTCACGGGTTTGAGACCAGCCTGGGCAACTTGGTGAGATTTCCCTCCCATCTTTATAATAATTTAAAAAATAGCCGGGCGTGGTGGCATGTGCCTACAGTCAGCTACTTGGAAGGCTGAAATGGAAGGACTGCCAGAGCCCAGCAGGTCAAGGCTGTGGTGGCAATAGAGTGAGACTCCAACTCAAAAAAAAAAAGAAAGTCAGGCTCGGTGGCTCAGCCTGTAATCCCGCACCTTTTGGGAGGCTGATGTGAGTG